TGGCTGAGCATCTTTTCATCTGTTTGTAATCCACCTGTACTTCTCTCTGTGTTAATAGCCTAATTCATATCCTTTACTCTTATTTTTTCTTTTTTTGATGGGGTGGTTGGTTTTTGATTTGCAAGAGCTCTTTATCCTTGAAATTGACTCTTTGTTGTGAAAGTGGCAAATAATTTTACTTGTTTGATATGCCTGGGTTTATGGGTATTTTTGTTTTGGGTTGTGGAAAAATATTAATTTTTATGTAGGTAGACCTAGCAACTTTGATCTTTAAGGCAAACCTGTGCATCTACCCAATAGGCTGTACTGCCTCCTCACTCCTGATCAATTGTTTGAAGGGGCTGCTTCTCCACTGAAGATCCTCTGGCAGGATGTGAGTGTCCCCAACCTGGACTTAGCTCCTTAACAGTTGACCTGGGATCTCCTTAATGATCCTCAATGCAGAATTATAGGATCGATCATCCCCACTGCCCAGGACCTGTCTGTATACACATTCTAATGGGAATCGAGGATGAACAGACTGACCGCACAGGCTCCCAGGCACAGAGAGCCTCTAATAACAAGCTTTTAATGAGAGTGATGAGCCCTCAGCTGCCCAGGGCATTCTTCATCCAGAAACAGCTCCTCTGAAAATGAAATATTGCTCCAGGCCCTCAAGGTGGGCAAACTAGAGGCTGCAAGAAGAGGAGGGAGAACAACTTCTAAGGAATGAAAATCCTGGTCCTCCACTAGGCCCTCTGTGACTTTCCTACCTGTAAGAAGGGATGTTCTAAGACATGTGCCTTGTCTTAGGACATCCCTTCCATCTTGGGTCTTTGCTGAGAACATAACTCTCACCATACACCCACTCTTATAGGGAAGTGGATACAGGTGGCTAAGAGATCTCTTTTGAAGGAAGCCATCTAGGCAGTGATTCCAAAATTTTAGCGAGCATGAGAACCATGTGGAGGGGTGGTTAAAGAACAGATTGCTGGGCCCACCCTCTGATCTCTGACTTAGGAGGTCTAGAGTGGGCCTGAGAATCTGAATTTCTAACAAGCTCCAGGTGATGCTGAAGCTGCTGAACTAGGGGCCACACTTGGACACCCTCTGGCCCAGGTCACTTGCTCTCTGGCCCTGCTTCCCTGTCTGAGGCTGGGCAGTAGTGTGAGTTAGACTGAGAGGCCTCATTCCAATCAAAGAAACAACAGCAACTTCTAGGTGCCAGTGACTGTGCTCACAACTGTGTGGTTTATTCTCTCATCTAATCCTCACAACACATCTCTGCAGTATGGTTTACTAGTCTTGTCTCCTATTTACAATGAGAAAACTGAGGTTCAGAGAGAGTGGCTGGGCTTTAGAATCAGACAGATCTAGGGTCTGACCCCAGCTCACTGACCCACCCTGTGAGCTCTTGGGAAGTGACCCACTCTCCCTGAGCCTATGGGGGATTACAAAACCTGATTCCCAAGGAGCATATGAGGACTACAGGGGTGGTGATTATAAGAGCAACTGCCCTCAATAGTTGCACAGGAAATATGCATCCCTTTTCCTGCCACAAGCCCCATCATGACTGTAAGGTCCCTTTCTGTCTCTCAGATGCATCTTCTACCTCTCTCTACATGTTGAGACACCTCACCTCAAAGCTGCATTGGACTACTTGTCACTTCCTAAACATGCTTCATTTGGTCATGCCTCCAGGTCTTTGTAAAAGTTGTTATCACTGAGTGTCTTTTTCACTGTACTGCTCCAGAGAAACTCCTATTCATCCTTCAAAACCCACCTTAGAAGTTCCCTCTTTTTGCTTCCTTGAAATGTCATCCTCTTCCTGTCCACGGGCAAAAGAAAATATCTGGTGTTGAAGCCTGTTATTTGAAGAAGGAGCTCAAAGTGTTACTTTCCTTCTCTCCCTTCCTTCTTCCTTTACTTGTACTTCCACAGTATTTTATATGGAGTACAATTTGGAGTACAAATTACCAGGCAGCTAATACCACCACTATCAGCATCAACACTGAGACAGTGTTGACCATGCACCAGGTACTGCTGTAACAGTTGTTGACTCATTTCATGCTTAAAATAACCCTTAGAGACATGCTACTTATTACCCATCTTTTACGTATAAGGAAATTGAGTCACAAAAATTCTAAGTAGCTTGCCTTAGACCACATCTGTGTCAGAGCTGGGATGTAGAAGCTGGCTGTGGTGTTGGTGTTATTAACGTTGACATTATGCTGCTCTTTAAGAATGAGGGGTGGGACACGTGGAGACGGAGGCATCCTGGAAAGTACCTGCCCCATCAGAGTGGGGAGCCATGTGTTGAGGCAAGAGCTGTCAACTTTGCTGATCCTCTTTTCTCAAGAGAACCCAGAAAGACAGAGTTTTATATAGCATCTCTATCTCTTTTTTTTTTAAAATCTTGGGAGTAAACTAAAGTTTTTAAAGGTGCATAGTTCTCATAAAAGCTGCCAACAGGTCCGTTGTAACTTCTGCTGTTTCCTGTATCTTGAAGATGAGAACTCGTTCTGACTTCATTTCTGTAGCTTAGCTTAGGGGTGGACACACAGTAGGCCCTTTGTAGGTGCCCTGATACTTCTGGACTCAACCGAGAGCTGGGCTTGGCTCTCAACAAGTGAAACCCTCACCCTCAGTCTCACTCAGCACTCAGGATTCTCTGCCTGCACTTGGGGTGTGGACGAGGTCCCATATGGTGGCTCTGAGCATCACCTCACCCCAGGGCCATCTCCAGGTCTGCCCTGTCCTGCAAGACTTCCTGCTCATCGGGTGCTGACGATGTTCTGAATGTTGTGTTTCCTCATCTCACTGACCCTCTCAACATTTTGGGAAGTTGCCATTGTCATCATCCCCATATTGCAGATGAGAAAAATGTGACTCAGGTAGGGGAAGGGAATTGTCCCAGCTGAGCAGGGGTGGAGCTGGCATTGTGATACTGGTATCGCAACCAAGCACCTCTGATTCCAGCTTTTCTGCAGCTGGCTGTTATCAGGCATTCCCATAAATGTTTGATGGTCCTGGCACACATTCCAGAGCAAGCAGACTCTCCTGACACAGCCTGGACCTGAGCAGTCTGCGGTACACCAATGGGATCCTGGATACTCCTGTCTGTCACCATGTTTCCTAACTCCTCAGTCTCCTGTTGGAGGGTGGGGTAAGATGGGGAGCATTTAGAGAGAAGCCCGGGATGTGATACCTTACAGGAACTCTGCTTACTGGGGCCCAGACAGGCAGAGCTTGTGGCCTGGCTGTCTCAGGGTTTTGGGCTCAGCTAGAGGGACCACAGCTAGAGGGGCTGTTGTGTTTGCCCTTGTCCATGGCCAGGCAGAATAGAGGTATGTGTATGTGCACCTTGCATGTGTGTGTAGTGCATACAGGTATGAATGTGTGCACATGTGTGTGTACACCTGGGAATACATGTGTGCATGTGTATATACATGTATACATACATGTGTGTGTAATTGAGATGAGGAGATTTTGTCCCCCAGATTCAGACCTCATGATATTAGTTTAGGACAAAGAGCAAAGAACTCTTATTTAACCCAGAGGTATCAGTTATACAAAAACCTGAAATAAAAACCAGTTCCCCTATTTTTATGACCTTAAAGCCCACTGGGAGGCGCAGCCAGGGTGGAAACCTATGCAGCAGTGATAATAAACAAGCTAGATTTATATGCAGCAACATGCATAACTTGCAAGGAAATGGTAACTGGGGGGAGGAAGAAGCCAAGTTGGCAAATAATATGGATGGATTAGGTCATTTCTATCAAACAGCCACGCCCAGGTTGGTGTAGCGCAGTGGATTGAGCATGGGCCTGTGAACCAGAGGATCGAGGTTTGATTCCCAGTCAGGGCACATGCCTGGGTTGCAGGCCAGTTCCCAGCAGGGGACACATGAGAGGCAACCATACATTGATGTTTCTCTCCCTCTCTCCTTCCCTTCCTCTCTAAACACAAATAAATAAAATCTAAAAAAATTAAAAAAACCCAGCCACCCACAACATTACTATGCCATTCACATGCTTTCTATGGGAGTAGGAAAGGCCTAGAAGGAACAAATCATGGAGGTGGTTACTTCTGGAGGGCAGGAAGTGCAGGGTGCTATAGACAAAGGAGCATGGATCGATCCATGCCTTCCTCATGGAAGTGTACAGTCTGTAGTTAGGAAGGTTGGGTCACTTCAGGATGTCATATTGTCAAGGCCACAGGGATGCCTAGGTCTGGGGGCGCCTTCACAAGCCCCCTCATCCTGAGGGTTTCCCGGTGGAGATGGGGTGGGAGTACTATTGTGTTTTCTATGGATAGGAGAGACTCTGCTGCTTCCTCCCTAAACTTCTCCTTCTCCATGCTTCAGTTTCCCCACTAGAAGGTCCCTGCTCGTCGCTGCGCACCCTGTCCCAGCATGCCAAAGTGATGTGACATCGTCTGGACATATCTTCTCTGGGGGATAGACGGGAAGGGGTTCAGATCCGTTCTCCTCGCCAGCACTCCCAAGAGGGGTCACTCAGAGAATACAACCACACTTCCCCTGAGGTGGCTTCACAGGTAGGCTCTGGCACCAGACTCCCTGTGCTAAATCTGGGATTCATTGACTTTTCTGCCCCCTCTGACTCTCAGTGTTCCCCTCAATACAGTGGTCAAGGCCACCACTGTATTGTGAAGTGATGCTGTGTGGTGAAGTCAGTTCATTCCAACAAAATGCTGTGCTTCGCGGCGCCTAGCACGAAATCTGGCTCCCAAGTGTCGCTCTTGTCATCCTCCTGAATGACGCTTGACCGCGCCCCTCCTCCCTCTCTGCCTCCCCAGAAGCTTCTGGGAGTCGCCGCTTCCCTCACCCCACACTCCAGGGGCTCGTCTCACCCCGCAGTACACTCCCCGCACCCAGATTCTGAGCCCCCGCAGTGTTCGAGAGCCCCCGATGAGAAACTGGAGCGGGGACAGGGGAGGGCGCGAGCGGCAGTTGCTCAGGGCAAGGGGCCACACCTACGCCGGCGGGGGTCGCGTCATACCTGCTTCTCGCGGCAGCTCGAGGTGGCTGGGATGCGCACGCAGGGCACAGCGGCGGCCAAGTGGATGAGGACAGAGGGCTGGGAGCGCACGGCGGCAGGGGCGGAGAGCAGCAGTCGAAGGGGCGGGGAAGCCCCGGAGCAGCCATGGGCGGGGCTTGGTGGCGCCCAAGGGTCAGCCACCCGCACAAGCCAGACTTCCCGGCCTCCTCCTTTGGCCCCTCTTTCGTCCCCTCATCCCCACCAGACTGTGGTTCCACACACTCGCTTACCCGCATGCCACATCGACGCACAGCCAACACTCCAAACTGTACCACCAACACACACATCCCCATTCTTCCCCTCGGCACATTTGGATACCTACACATGCCACAACTTTGCACACAGGGGACCCCTCACCCGCATGTCGCCTAGACAGACCACTCTCCCCCACATTTCCCTGCGGCTCATCACATGCCACCTACAACACTCCAACCTACCTGAAGGTATACCTGAACACACACACCTGTGCAACTGCACATCCATCACATACACACCCCCACAGGCACAGATGGTTCTCTGGGACAGGTGGGGATTTTAGAACAGGCTCCAACAGCTGATTTCCCCAGAAATATCCCTGTGCCTCATTCCACCTCTGAGTTGGCTTACCTCTGCTTTCCCCCTGACCTTCTCTTTCCTTCTGCCTCAGTCACCTCTCCAAGGTCGCTCCCAGATCCCTGTCATGCCCAGAGAGCCCCACCTCTGCATTAGGAATTCAATCAGCCTAACTGGTGGTTGAATTCCTGACTTCCTTCAGCGACTCCCACTACACTCTTGGCTTCAGTGCATTGCTGGGCCCTCCCCTTTCCTCAGCCTCACTTCCTTCTTCCTTCTCTTCACTGCATCAGGTCAAGTTTCCATGGACTATCATTTCAGCTATTTTCCTGCCAATATCTGTAACACATGGGTTTTCATGTTCTACATGCACAGCAAACCCCAAATGTCAGCCTTCTGCATTCTGCCATTGAGAGACTGTTTCTTTTCACTCATTGCCATAACAAATGACCACAAAAGTACTGGCTTAATATGCACAAATTTATTATTTTACAGTTCTGGAGGTCAGAAATAAAGAAGTGGTAGGAAGGACTGTGTTCCTTCTGGAGTCTCCAGGGGAGAATCTACTTCCTTGTCTTTTCCAGCTTCTAGATACTGCCTGCATTCCTTGGCTTGTGGCCCCTTCTTCTATCTTAAGAGCAAGCAATGTTGTGCCAAGATTTTCTCACATGCCATCTCTCTGCTTCTCTCTCTTCTGTCTCCCTGTTCCACTTAAAAAGGTCCTGTGATTGCAACTGGCTGACCCAGATAAGCCAGATAATTTCCCCATTTCTAGGTTAACTGATAACCAACCTTGGTTCTATTTTCCTGAAATCTTAATTCCCCCTTGCCATGTAACTTAACATATTTCAGATTTGGGGAAATCAGGACATAGACATTGGGTGTGTGTGTGTGCCATTATTCTGTCTACCACAGACACTGAGCCTGCGGGAGGCTGAGCCCTGCTGAAGAAAATTCGTCAACCCCATATATGTATGAACCTCTACAACTACAATAGAAAGAAGTTTATTATGATCATTTTCAGTAGAGAAATAATAAAACAACAAATGGTTATTTGATGTGGTACTATACAGCACTGAATAAGAAACATATCCCATCTACGTATATGAATGTTCCTAGACTTCAAAATTGTGAGTGAAAAAAAGCAAGAGATTGGAATAATAATGAGAACATCCAGGGTTTACTTTTTAAACTATTTTTTACTTTTTTACTGCTTCTTGTGGCAGAGGATATTTTTTCACTGCTTTTAGAAAGAGAGGAAGGATGAGAGAAAGGGAGAGACAGAAACATTGATGCAAGACAGGAACATCAATCAGTCACCTCTGGTCCACACTCGGACCAGGGATTGTATGCACCTGAACTGGGGTTGAACCCTCAGCCTAGTATGTGCTCTGGCAGGGAATCAAGCCCCAAACCTTTCAGTTATGGGGTGACGCTCCAACCAACTGAGCCATGCCAGCCAAAGGAGCAAATGCTTTTACAGTGCTTATTCTAAGCTGCTGTTCTAGGCACTTACATTAAAACTCACAATCACCTATGGGACAGGTACCAGTATTGTCCTTATTTTATTGATAAAGAAACTGGGTATGGAGAGGTTGAGTAACTTGCCCAAGGTCATACATATAGGAAACATCAGAGTTGAGATTTGAACCCAGGCAGTCTTAAGCCAGAGATTGTGCAGCAGATGAATTTGTACAACATGAATTATTCCAAGTAAAAATTTAAAGTACATAAAAATTTATATATACCGTAAAAAATTATAACTAAAGACAGTGGAAAGAAACCATTGAAATTCACAGTTAGTGACCTAGGAGTTTAGAAATGAAGTGGGAACCAAAAGGATTCTAACTTTGGCTGGAAGGCCTAATTAATTAATTCATAAAAGAATAAAAGGAAATGTTACAAAACATTAACATTTAGCTGTGGGTTGTGAGGCCTTGAGTGACTATTATTCCATTATTTTTGTATTTAAAAAAATCGATCTCTCTAAAAAATACTGTGGTCTTTGAACTCAGTGTTGTTGCTGCATTTTTATATGTTTTCTTATTGTTCCAATTGCTTTTATTTTATTTCATGTATGTTTCTCTGAAGAACTCCTAATATAGGAGTTCTCAAAGTTTGATCTTTTGGCACTTTTAAAAATTATTGCAGCCCTGGCTGGTGTAGCTCAGTGGATTGAGCACGGGCCTGGAAACCAAGCAACCACGGTTCGATTCCCAGTCAGGGCACATGCCTGGGTTGCAGGCCAGTTCCCATCAGGGAACTCACAAGGGGCAACCATACATTGATATTTCTCTCCCTCTCTCCTTCCCTTCCCCTCTAAAGATAAATAAATAAAATCTTAAAAAAAACTAAAAAAAAATTATTGCAGACCCCAGACAGTTTTTGTTTATGTGGGTTATATCTACTGATGCTTATGATATTAGAAATTTAAATATTAGATACTTTCAAAATATTAAAATATAATAATAATTAATCAATTTTATGGTAACATAAACAAAATGCCTTTATGGAAAATATTTTCCAAACCCCCCAAAAATTAGTGGGAAAAATGGCATTGTTCAGTATTTTTGCAAACCTCTTTAATGTCTGGCTTAATGAAAGGCAAGTGGGTTCTCACATTTTCTTCTGCCCCCCCATCTGGTGCAGTACATTGTTTAGTTGGAATAAAGAAAATCCAGCCCTGTTGAATTTTGCCCGCTGTTGCTTTGTCAGTGCAAAGGTCAACATGATAAAAAGGCGTGTATTATTAGTATTGTTAGGAAAATAATTTTGACCTCATGTTCTTCTTGAAAGATCCTTCTTGAAAGTGTCAAAATAATTTTGACACTCCCCCTCCCCCACAGGACTCTGTGGGCCCCACTTTGAAAACCACTGTCCTAGTATATCCAGTTGTGACCATATGAAATTGCTGACATGAGACTATTACTAATCTATAAAAATGGCAACTTAATATGGTTCTACCCAGTGCATGTTATTTGGAGGGTTTTCCTTTTGGTTCATGCACTGTTTTCCTGTCCAGGTCCTGTCATTGGACCTTATTAGGGTGCATCTCCTTGGGGACCGTGTTGGCATGAGCAACTTTATACAAATGACATGTCTTTCTTTGTGCCATGATTTCCAGCCTGGGGGAGCTGGGGTTTGAGGGATGCATAGGAAGTATGGACTGATTGATACCAGGCCAACACATTTTAAGGCATACGTATTTTAAACAATTGTGAACAAGAAGAGGTGTGTTGTCTCAGGGCTGGCTTGGCTTCTTACAGCTTGAACTCTCTTCTTTTTGTCTTTTGATAGGAACTCTGGTTTGAAAAATGTCAGCGAGAGTTTGTGTGGACTTTTGGCCAGGTGTTTTGAACTATGGACTATTTGGCCAAATTAAAATTAAATCTTTCTAGATTAAGACACATGGGCTGAATTATACATAGTTAGACAAATTTGTGTCTGGGTAGGTTTATGCCTCGTTTTGGAGATCTCTCAGTGTTAACAATAAATGTTCTAGTGGGCATTTACACACCATTGTAGAAGAACAGTCCTCTTGCTTTCTTTAATCAGGTTAATGCAGTTCTAGGAGATGATGAGACTTAGAAGGGGATCCAAGAGCCAAAAGGAAGCCAAGCAAGCGCTGGTGATCAATAGGGTATTAGAAGCTGTACTTTATAGCCACTACTTCAATAATACTTTGCATAAAAGATAAAGTGAGTATTGTTTTTCTTTATAAAGAGAAGGACACCAAACATCCATTCATTCTAATTCAGGTAACTGCACCTGATTTAGCTCTGGTGTCTCCACTCCTTCCTTACATCTAGTCCACATTTTTATTCTGAGACATTGATTTCATTTACCACTACCCTCTGTTCAGGGTTGATATTACCCCAGCCTAGAAATCAACACATTATGTTGCTGTCAGGATATTAGTTCAAGGGAGGGACTATGACCTAAGTCTGCTTAACCATAGTCAGTGAAACTCTGTACAGGGATGTCTTCTCAGGACACTTTCTTTGAGCTCTTAGGGAGTCCCACCTGCTTCGGAGTTGTTTGGGTGTGGAGCTGCAGCTGGGAAGAGGCTGTATAAGGATGGATCCCATCTAGAAAGATGATGGGGAGAAACTAGGTCCTGGTTTCATCATTTGGCCCCCATCAAGCCATAACTGAAACCAGCCCTATCCCTGGACATTTTGGGTGCACAAGACTATCAATTTCCTTTTTGCTAAACCACCCTAGGTTGGGGTTTCTGTTGCTGTAACCAAAAGACTCTTAACTTATCCTGGTGAAAATGTTATCCAAACTACCGAAAAAGAAACTCAGAGGGACAGTTAACACATTGATTATAGAGTCTTGACAGTACGGAGTGTCAGGCCCCAAACTTGTAAGATAAATTACAAGCAAAGATATTAGGTCCTACACCTAGGCTCAGATGGATAACTGCTGTACTTAAAAGTACAGGAGGGGAAGCCCTGGCTTGGGACCTGTGCTACCCCCTAAGATAGAGAACCTCACAGGAATGCAGTGCCACCTGCAGGT